AGAGCAAAGCAAGCTCTACAAGATGGCACTCATGTCTTTGCGCTATGCTCGATCCACGGAGAGAACTCAAAATCTAAAGATTTCCAAATGCCCAAAAAATCGAAAAAAATCAGATCTTCGTCCAAATAATTTCTACGCGCCTCCCACTCGCTCACTTCAATACTATCGATATCTGAAATCCATAGTGCGATTGCCGTATTTTTCCCTTGACTAGAAATTGAGATAACGAAAATTTCCCTGATTTTCTTAAAGCATTGCTGAGCTGTTTTTGCATATGTAGCTCTATACTACAAGCCTAGATAAGTAAAACTGTAGATTTTCAGCCCATTCCAAGCGGTAGTTTTCGAAAAATAACGAATTCGGATTTTTTCGTTGCAGTTTCAGTGCTAAAATCGACATTTCTCGAAAAGTACCGTTCGAAATAGGCTGAAAATTTACAGTTATGCTTACCTAGGCTAGTAGTATAGAACTACATATGCAATAACGGCTCAGCATTGCTTTGAGAAAATCAGGGAAATTTTCGTTTTCTCAATTTCTAGTCAAGGAAAAAATACGGCAATCGCACATATGGATATCAGATATCGATAGTATTGATGTGAGCGAGTGGGAGGTCCGTAGAAATTATTTGGACGAAGATCTGATTTTTTTCGATTTTTGGGCACTTGAAAATCTTTAGATTTTGAGTTCGAACTCTCCGTGGATCGAGCATGGCGCAAAGACAGAGTGCCATCTTGCAGAGCTTGCTTTGCTCTATCCAACGGTACTTTGAAGCCTATATAAGAATGAAAAGTGTACGACTTATTGCGGTTGAAATTCAAAACGTGCATTAATTATGAGCCAACCCAATATATACATATTAGGTCGTTCCGAAAGTAATGTCGCTTTTTTCAAATGAACACCACATTTCGTGGAACTAAGATTTTCAAGAGCTCTAGGGATCAGGCAATGCAAAATTTTGTCCTCTTTCTAATGGTTGTAATCTCATTGCGTAATATTCAATGAGCTCTCAAAGAATTACTAAAACCTGCGACTTATGCTTTTTGTCATGGTCAAGTTCGGCTATTTTTCTATATTTTTGTACTGATTTCCCGAAGATATACAAGTAACACATAAATAGAGCAAAAACTATAGGACACAAAACAATTTTTTCCTTTTCCCTAGTTTGCTTCTTAGAGTTCGTAGAACCAATTTTTCAATGGTGTCAAATTCCATACTTGGTCAACTCAGACCTCACAGAACAACAACCGGCAAGCAACTCGGGTGTCATTCAACGCTTTTTCTCCTCTTTTTACCTGTTGTTTTTGGTTTCCGATCCATAAAGTTTTCCGGGGAAAAATCATCATAATTCAGGTTTTCCAAGGCGCCCCAGACTGCACCCAAAATTTCCGAAAGTTGCTAATCTGCAGCGGTAAATGCTCATATGCTTTGTAAAATTAGTGTTAAACCATAATCTACCTTTGTAAGTTTCAGAATCCGAAAGTTTATTGGTGTTTGATGCATATGTGTTTGAGACAAGCCTGCAAAAATTCGGTGACTTCATTGAAAAATCTCTACAAAAATTATGACGAGATACAGGGAGCAGAAAAAAATAGCACCGTTTCCTATAGGGTTTGCTCTATCCATCCATTACTTGGACTCCTTCCGGAATTTATTGAAAAAAATTAGAAAAATTGTGAAACTTGACCTTCCCAATAAGCATGGGTTGGAGATTTTAGTAATTTTTCAAAAGCTCATCAAGTATTCTGCAGTGGAATTATTACCATTGGAGAGAGCATGAAATGCTGCATCGAATGCTTCCAAGATCTCCTAGAAAGCTTGCTTCCACGGAATGTAGCGTTCAATTGAAAAAAGCGACATTACTTTCGGAATGACCTAATATATATATTAGGTGGGTGCAAAAGTTCGTTCGCCAGTTTTTCAAAAAATCGTAACTTCATTCCAACGTAATGAATCTCTTTGATCTTATACTCATTTAGAAGAGAAAACCTTTCTCTTTACAGCAGTGCCTTTGCCATGAATTGGCATGAGAAAGTTCGAAATTTAAAAGCAATTGAAGAAAAGTATTCAAGATTGACATTTTTCAAGTAGGGTCTCAAAAAATTCTGGAAATATTTTTGTATGATAGAGAAAATTATGCTCTTTACAAAAGTGCTTTTCCCATGAATTAGAACGAAAAAGATCGAGAGTTAGAAGCAAATAAAGGAAATTACTTCAGTTTTGCAGTTTTTGAGCATGCTCAAAAAAGCCTAAAAACATCACAGAAAGGGCGGAAAAGTCATAAACGTGGGTTTTGTAACCTTCCCTTTCTAGCTGAGCGAGTTTCGAGCTGATCGAGAGCGATTTTTATTTTCGTAGTTTTTTCGGATTTTCGGGTGTGCGTTTTTCACGAAAAACAAAATTGCTCGCGATTAGCACGAAACTCACTCAGCTAGAAAGAGAAGGTTACAAAACCCATGTTTGTGACTTTTCCGCCCTTTCTGTGATGTTTTTAGGCTTTTTTGAGCATGCTCAAAAATTGCAAAACTGAAGTAATTTCCTTTATTTGCTTCTAACTCTCGATCTTTTACGTTTAAAGTCATGCGAAAGGCACTATTCTAAAGAGCATAATTTTCTCTATCATACAAAAATACTTGCAGAATTTTTCGAGACCCTGCTTGAAAAATCCCAACCTTGAGTACTTTTCTTCAATTGCTTTTAACTTTCGAACTTTCTCATGCCAATTCATGGCAAAGGTACTGCTGTAAAGAGAAAGGTTTTCTCTTCTAAACGAGTATAAGATCAAAGAGATTCATTGAGTTGGAAGGAAGTTACGATTTTTTGAAAAACTGGCGAACGAACTTTTGCACCCACCTAATATATATATATACCAGTGGCGTACCGAGGGGGGGGGGGGGCGCCCCCCCCCCGAGAATGGGTCGAGAAATTTTTGAAAGTTACTTAAATGTGTTATAAAAATGTGTAAAGGACTTGTCTTTACTTGTGAATAATTAAAATAATTTTTAAAAATTTTTAAAAATACAATTTAGCCTTGTAAAAAAATTTTTTTCGGGGGCGTGGGAACCCGCAAAAATTTTGAGAAGCACCCTAAAAATTTTTTCGGAATGCGTGGCTAACGCCACGCACCTTCATCAGAAAAAAATTTTTGTCGCGCCCCCCCCCCCCTCCCGAACCGAAATCCTGGGTACGCCACTGATATATACATATATATATATATATATATATATATATATATATATATATATATATATAACTCAAAAATTGTCAGTTTGAAGGGTATGGCGTTATGGAAACGCGCGCCACTCAGTCGATTTAGCTAAAACTTTGCAACATATGTTTTCGACCCCTGCGCAGACGATAGGCTACTTTTTGCGGTGATTCGTTGGGTCCTTCTATCGGTTTATTGGTTTGCTTACGTTTTCCTAAGGAATTGCAGGCGTATCATGTTTAGTCAAGCATTTTCCCATAGTCATGTGAAGGAGGGCGGTGAAGCTCATTTTCACCTTAGGATCACGAGGGTGCGGTTTTGAAGCGGTCCCAGGGTAAGTCATCCATAATATATAAGGGGGAGGGGGGAGGGCTCGCAGTGCAGTTGAACAATGGCCCGGGCTGGATCGGGAAAGCCAACTAGTATTATATAAGTATTGATATTGCACTACGTAAACTTCAACATCCCCAGCCCCGTGACGAAAGCTTTCTACGGCTAGCATATTAAAACACGATAAGTTCAAGGTGCAAGATGCACTGTCCCGCAACTGACACGTTTACATCGCACAAATGATGATATGAAATCAAATTTGATACGTGAATGGACAAGGATGGAAACTAAAGCATGCCGTCAGCTATTTTGTTAATTTAGTCACATTGAGAGGTAAAAGATATTTGGAACGCCACAACCTTTTCAAAATAAGGTTGAAAAGTAAGTGCAAATCTAACTCACAAATACTTCAGAGAGTTAGAATCTTTGTAAGATGTCTGCGTGGCAAAATGAGTGCAGCTCTTGACAGCGAGAAAGGAGTTAGAGCTTCATACCGGTACTATCGAATCGATCGCACCTCTTTTGCTGGATCGCTGCCAGTGGAGAGCTATATTAAGCTGCGTCTAGACGGCAGAGTTTGTTTTATCTTTCATATATCGTCGAATCCATGGTCGCACGGACTGCCCAAACACTGCGCACCACGGGCGGCACTGTTGAATTGTCGCGAAAGCACGACTTGTACCATGGCGAATTTGTACTGGGGCAAGCGTTTTGCCTCCGCAGTGATGTCCAGTCCGTACGTTTATTTACGGTCGAAAAGACTTGCATAAAAAGCGCAGAGCTTTTTGCATCTCTTTTCACACATATTATAGTCGACAGTTATGTCAGGGTTAAAATACTCGGACAAAGAACAGAATAAAGGAAATGCAAGTTTTGTAGTACAAAAGACATTGATTGATGTCATTTATCGGAACATAAGAGTACCCGAAAGCGTGTCAAGCGTGGTGGCGCTTTTAGTTTAGCGCGATTCATGTGCGTGTTGAGAGATGAGAAAAATAGCACACCGACTAGAGAGGCATGATGGTGACGTCAGTCGTAGGTTGGCGAACACAGCGGGGCCATTGTGAATACCGATCTTGCCCTGTGGGTTTGCGAACCCACGGAACCCACTGGGTGCGCGAACCCAATGGGTTTCAGAACCCACTGGATTCGTTGATCGATACGGCCACAGCATTGCATGCTAGCTGGCGGAGCTGCCAAAAGAAGGCGGGGCCAACATGAAATATTCTCCGTCTAAATTAATTATATGAACACGGGTTATGATTAGGCACATCGAAATTGAAGTTCAGGGGCGCCGCGAACTATTGTGCGGAGCCATCCAAAGGAACAGACCTCCACTTGCGCACCATTGCGCTGCACTGTCGACGAATAAATGCTTGTGTAGTAGATAGTGATAGATAGTTGTTACATTTTTTCTTATAACAACAAAAAAACAACTTTTGAAGTGCATGAAGACGTATTTTAGCTCAGTAGCCACAACGGTTCACTCAGCAAGGCAAGAAATAAGATCGTCATCGTCACCGCAGTCTTTGGATATTTTGGAACCAAGCGTTGAAGACCGAGATTGCAGCAACTCATGCGCGAGGTAAGTACTTCTCAAAACAGCTGCAGCTGTCCCTTTGAATTGAAACATTTTTCAGAGAATCACAATTGGATAATTCTGCAGGTCCTGTAAAGAAGTAGCCTCCGTGAAGCAGAGAAAATTTCCATTTGGTGTATCCACCAGCGAGAATGAAGCCTTTGTTTATAGAATCCTGCTTGGTTTCCGCTTTTATTTGCTGGGGAGCAAGACGCAGACAGCAACAGGGTGGCGGTTTCTAATCTTTCTTCTTATATATAGAGCTAAATGTCTGTCTGTTTGCCTGTCTGTTCGTACCTATGTGTGCTCGTATGTTCTGAATAAAGTGCCCATTTTACCCGATCCGGACCAAACTCTGCGCACATATAAGCGAGCAAGCTGATTACATGCAGTGATGACTTTTTTAATTCTCAATTAGCTTTATCGATTATCACCTTTCTGCAAACTCTGAGCTACGAGGCTGAGTTGGGGCAGAAGGTGAGTTGTGAGCATGGCCATAACAAAAACATTGCATGGCAGGTAATACTCATAGAAGGGAGGCAGGAGCAGGGGAATGCAGTACAGAAAAAAGTGGGTATCTTCATCGTGGTATATTGACAGAGTCAAACGAAATCGGATATGCCAACTAGTAGCTCACATAGATGGCAGGAATTCGTTCGTATAATAAAAAGGTTCTGCTATGTTATACAGAAACATAACATTGTTTACTCGTTGAGTGCTTTGACATGAAAAATGATTTATCAGCGGTTGAGTTTAGCAAACGCAGAAATAGGAAACGGAAACGCGCAGTGAGTTCTTTTTTATACTCGTGGGTTGACTATATTACGAGATGCTTACCATAATTTTCCTTGAAGATCCCATACGGTAGTTTCCACAACCCTCGGCACTTCGCGGTACAGTTCTTCGTATTAGCACCAATGCTAAACTGGTCTAATTATATGTTAGTTGAAAGAAACAGCAAAACAAACATTCAGAAATCTCTCGAGTGAAGTTTTGCATATTATATCTCAGACAATTGACGGCATACTTCCGGAGGACAAAATAGGGAACCGCCGGGTTGACGAATGGCCAACCCCACAGAGGTTGGGGAATCCTTCCCGTATTTGTGCTCCGGAAGTCCCCCAAAAGTCTACTGCGCTTTGGAAACCTCGCATTTTCGCACCCTGGCATACTGTAGTTAGTCATGCACTCATGCACTTAGCATACCCTGCATTTTCACACCTGGCATACTGTAATTGGCCCTAAATCGAGCTGGGCATACTGTAACCACCCCTGATTAGGCTACAAAGCTATTTCAGCCCCTTAACCCACCCAAACTACCTCTAGATACCCAATCCCCACTCTAAACTGCTTTTTATCTAAAAAAAAGCTAACACTGCTAAAAATAGAACTACTTATTTGTAAAAGTAAAATAGCAGACACAAGTTCTGGTAATAAATGAGAATGAGATGAAAAAAAACACGATGATAACAGAAATAGCACTCGCCTCCGTCTTCACTTAATATGTTCACCCTTGCAGGGGGAACAAAAAATCTACATATAAGAAATCGGTCGGTGTCATAACGGCAAATACAACATGGGTATAATTAGGAGAGACACAGTAAATGTGAGACAGAAATGAACATACAAAAAATTAGAAGGGGGTGAAAATATTAAGTGAATTTGGAGGCCGGGGAACTGAAAAGGAATCATTTTCCTCGGAGTGCAGAGCCATTCCTTGTGAAACAGTTGAGAAGTAAAGATCGTTAAGAGCCTAGACACATAATGGCATAAAAATTTAAGTGTACATATAGATCGATAACTCACCTTTTGTAGATGGATTTTCAACTCCCTTGAGAGGCACGTGCATGGTCAAACTATTGCAACCTAGCTCACTTCACAGAGCAAATCCGCTCTGCAACAAGCCACCAAGCGGACCAGCAGATAGAGTTACACAAATACCTATAATCAAATGCAAAACAAGATGGTACCAACCAAACCATGATAATGCTGCGATGGAAAAGTTTGGAGGGAGAAAACTTGTTTTTGGACGCCTAAAAGGCTCTAATGCCGCAGTCACAATTTCAATAGTAAGTTTGCAAATGAGCGCATGTACAGATAGAGGACTGCAGCAAGACATGGAAATTGACAGATCACAAACTTAGAAGGAATTCGAGGTGGTTATCTACTTGAAAGGGAAGTGAAGTAAGGAGGAAAGGAGAAATTCCAAAAAGGGCGGCAATCAAAAGCGACTCCTATGAGATATGAGAAAATTAATCAGAAGTTGAAAAGACTTATAAACAAATTGTATGGAATTCGTCCGGCTATACATCGATCCTTGAGATGCCAACGTTCAACTCCCTGATATGGAATGTCCGGTTGAGGCATCGTATGCTCGCTTGTCCTTCAACTTCTTGGACGCACATAGCAGTCCTTTGAAGCAGTGCTCCTCTAAGCTTGCAGTGTTCCTCGAAGCTGGTGCTGGTTCGAAGATTGCATCCGGATGTTCTACCAGGAAAAGAATAAGGAGGCTAAATGGAAAGCGACGTAAAGGACAGAACGCGGAAGAAACACGGAAACGGAAGAAGAGCGGGTAAGAAGCGCTTAGAAAGGCCATAAAAACAAAAAGAGCCTATTTTTGAAATTAGCGGGAGCTGCGCGTTAGCGAACGGCAGATTGGCTGCGTACCTATCAGCGCTCCGGAGGTGCTGTGCGCCTAGAGCTCCCCGCTGGTCTCGCAAATCTGGAGCACTTCCTAGCACAGATTCGCAAATTCTTCGGAAGTGTCCTCGGCTTTTCGTGACGTCACCGAAAGTGGGCCGCTCCTTGCTCCGCCCCTTCAATGGTTAAAGGCAACAGGTCGCAAAACCGAACATCCCGAAATTTTGACATGGAAAGTTGCTTGCACCCCAAACATGAGAACAGAGCAGGTCCGAGCGCATAGCATGCTGCCCTTGCCTAAAAAATCCTGTTACGCGCAAGTAATTTTAGTACGCGCGGACGAGCTTGCAATTCTCCCTGACTCTTCAGAAAAGGCATGCCGCAATATTATAACAGCGAGGGTTTCGCAACGATTCTGCTTCTCTAAACTTGGCGGGACGTGCTACACTCGTCCAAATTCAAGATTGGAGGCCTTGGGAAATGGTGGCTTTTGCCATTTTCGCGCTCTTCAAGGTGGATCTCCGGAACCAGCGCCTCCAATTACTCCAGGTAAGCAAAAAAACTCAAAGTCGAGAGCCTGCCGAGACGCTGCCTTTAAGAGCGCCCTCCGGAAGTGTGCCAGATCTTTACTGTCCTCCGGAAGTATTTTGCGATTTTCTGAGATTGATTAATCGCGTTGGAAAGTTGAAAATATCCTACCGACGCAGCTTAGATATGAAAAATGTGTTACGTTAGATAGATACATAAATTGTGATCTACATAAAATTTAAAGGTAAAACCCATAATTTTTTCATCACTCTAAAAATCGAATCTCGCTTGAATTTAAGCAAGTCTCACTATTAACAAGGGAAGTAGTGTTAGTCGAAGTGGTCATTTGAAATGAGAAATATACCATTTCCGAAGGCAAAACGATACTTCCGAGTCTGTCTTTCTTAACTGCGCGTTCCTGCGCAGTTAAGAAAGACAGACTCGGAAGTTATGAGCGTCTATTGGAGCAAAAAATTGAATGTGCGAGCAAACTGTAAATAGTCAAACATTGGCCTGTCCCATAATTCGTTTTATATTTGAATTTTCGCTGTGATAAGTCATACACGTCTTATTCCAAAAAACTTCAGGGTACCATTCGACAGAGCAAAACAAGCTCTATAAGAAGGCATTTTTGCTTGTGCACAAGCTTGATCCACCTCATGTTCGAAACAAACTCTAAAAAGTTTCTTATGCTTAGAGAATTGGAAATTTTTATATTTTCGTTCAAAAAAGTCCTATAGATTTCTCACTGGCTCACGCATATACACTCCACACTAAACACTCATATGTGCTGTTGCTGCATTCTTTATTGGGCAGAAATCAAGAAAACGAAAATATCCATGTTTCTAACAGAGCGATGCTGTGCTGTTCTCACATTAACAGTTGCATACTACAAGCCCTTGTAAGTAATTTACGGATGTACTTCTTAGGGCTTGTAGTATACAACTGTTAGTGTGGGCACAGCACAGCATCACTCTGTTGAAAACATAGGGATTTTCGTTTTTTTGATTTCTAGCTAGTAAAAGAATGCAGCAATAGCACATATGAGTGTTTGATGTGGAGTGTATATATGTGAGCGAGTGAGAGATCTGTGGGACGTTTCTGAATGAAGATATAAAAAATCTTCAATTTTCTGGGCATCCAAAACTTTTTAGATTTTGATTTTGCATTTGAGGTGAATCGAATCTGGTGCAAAAGCATGAAAGCCTTCTTATAAAGCTTGATTCTCTCTATCGAATGATATCCTAATGTCCATTTAGGATAAGAAGTGTATGGAAAAGACTTATGGGACAACCTAATAAATAGTTACACTTTTTTTCTGGCACTCAAATAGAGTAGTGATAATTATCAAAACACTTTAGTGAATACCCTCAAAAAGGCATATCCGCAATCCGCTGTCTCATATTGAGCACTAGAAAATTTTAGCATTCGATTTTATCCTAGACGACCATCTAATTTTGCGGTCGCTTGATACTCACAATGATTGTCTGAGAGATGAGGCAGAAGTTCGTTGACGTCTACTGCAATTTTCGCGGGAGCGGAGTGAAAAGTCCGCGCATTTCCTGCCCCCGGGGGTGATTGTCTTAGTGTGACTCATTATGAGACACATACTTGAGTTATCTGAAAGTGAAAAGATTTGAAAATTTTTGAGAGCATTGCATCAGATGTTGTTCAGGGATGGCAGAATTTCAAAGAATTTCACGGGGCTCGTGAGTATCTGTTAATTAGCCGTTTTTCTATCTCAAGTCTCTAAAAAGTCTACCCGTAAAGTTCTCTGGACTTGTCAGTTTTCTGTGTAATTATCATAACCATCATGGCAAGCATTTTCGTATGGTGTCATCATGTTGCTACATGTCGCTACATGTAGAACAACGCCTTATTACTGACTTAAACTTATGGTTATATAAAAAAAAGGGAATAAGAATTTTTCCTCAAGCATTTGGTTCAACGAATGTTCTGCGGTAGAAATCGACATATCTTCAACATTCTTCTACATAAACAAACAGAAAATAACTGTCTAAATGCTAACTCAGCCTATTAGCCACAACGTCTTACGGAGAGGAAAAAAATAAGACCGTTATTGTTACTGCAGTTTTCACGGAATTTGAAACCAAACGCTGAAGAACGCAACTACCTATGCACGAGGTATGTGTTTCTGAACGC